CTTTCAAGAGGATACCACCCCTATGGAAGATTAGAATCTTAGACATAGACTTATTTTTTAGTTGAAATAAGACAATGAGGCCGAATTCCACCTAGTCGCCAAACCCCTCCTTTGATTTTGGTTGATTTTTGAACAATTTTCCTTTATGTTTGGATTATTTGTTGTTGATTTGTTTTTTGGATATTAAGTTTTAATTAATTACCATCCTTGAATAAATGAAATTATTTTGAATTGATATTTTTTTAAAAAACTTTTATGCATGTGACTGATTCAAATTAATTTTTCATTCTAGGTATGACTAGTGTGAAAGTTAATTGTCTGGTAGATGATGCAACCATGCATATAGTTTTGCGTGAACGCATCTATTTCACCAACTTGATAGAAGGATACGGTAAGGCATGTATAATGTTGTCCAATGGTACAATCTTGACCATTTCTAAGGCACTCTATTCTCCATGTTCCAGAAGAACGTTGTTGAGTTTCAAGGACATTAGAGATAACAATTACCACGCTGAAACCCACATACAAAACGAAGTTGAATTTCTATGCATGACTTCCTACGAATATGGCCATAAGCGTATTCTAGAGAAGATGGAGCGTACCCCGAGTGGTCTATATACTATGACCATAGGCCCCATCGAATGCCACTATGTGGCCTGCCTTACTACTGGACCGCACACGAAATTACACTTTGGCATGATCATTTGGGACATCCTGGACGAACAGCGATGCGTCGTATCCTCAAATCTTCACACGGGCATCCACTAACCCGAAGTTTAGATTCGATCCAAGGAATCTCATCTCAAACATGTTCGATGGGAAAGCTTATTACTAAGCCTTCTTATGACAAGATTCATTCGAATCCTCCCATTTTTCTACAACAGATTCAGGGGGGACATTTATGGACTGATTCACCCTCCCTGTAGACCATTTAGATACTTTATGGTTTTAGTTGATGCTTCCACACGTTGGTCACACATGTGCTTGTTGTCCACAAGGAACGCTGCATTCTCCAAACTGTTGGCTTAGGTTATCAAGCTCATGGCTCACTACCCTGATTATCCAATCAAATCTATTCGATTGAATAATGCTAGAGAATTCACCTCTAACACTTTTGATGACTATTGCATGTTGGTTGGGGTTAAAGTTGAACATCATGTAACCCATGTTCACACCCAGAATAGCCTGGCAAGCACTTTCATTAAGCGCTTACAAATGAGTGCTCAATCGTTGGTCATACGTACCAAGCTCCTGATCGCTACTTGGGGTCATGCAATATTGCACACAGTAAAGTTGGTCTGTTTGAGGCATGTTGTGACACAACCATTTAGTGCCCTTCAGTTGGTCACCGGATACGAACCCGACATATCGGATCTACGTGTTTTTGTTTGTGTGGTATATGTGGCAATCTCGCTACCCTTATGTACAAAAATGGGGCCTCAGTGAATGATGGGAATCTATGTCGGATATGATTCTCCTTCGATTATTAATTACTTAGAACCTTTGACAGGTGATTTGTTTCCCGCTTGTTTCACGGATTGTCACTTCTATGAGATAATCTTCCCATCGTTAGGGGGAGATAAGAACGTCAACATTCCTGAAGAACGACGTAAATTATCGTGGATGACTCCCACTTCGTCTCATTTAGATCCCCGCACCGCTCAGTCTAAAACTGAAGTACAACGCATATTAGATCTCCAGAGCATAGCTCAGAGTATGCCAGATGCTTTCACCGATCTAGCGTGCGTGACAAGATCACATATTCTAGCTGCGAATACGCCTGCAAAGATGGATGTACGAAATGTACGATGGACTTCCCTCCTAGAGGCCCGGGACACCAATTCTGGTGATCCACGTACATTAATGGCTAGCCAATCATTTGCCCCTTCACAAAAGCATGGTAGACCCCTTAGTTCAAAGGATTCACACCCCTGGAAGAGGAAACCCACTACAAAAGGTCCTGAAGAGCCTACTGTGAATCTGATTATCGCTTACCTATTTTATCCAACTCATGAGGAAATTCTAGATTATGGAAGTGTCCTTGAAGAGGCGAATCTTCCTCCCGAGAATCATGAGATTTCGGTCTATTATGCTAGCTTAGATGATGTGTGGCGTAGAAATGAGATGATTGTCGACGATGCATTAGCATATGCAGTAGCTACTAAGATCATGTTGAGCGATGACATTGAACTGTGTTCCGTTGATGAATGTTGACATAAAACTGATTGGTCAAGCTGGAAACAAGAAATCCAAGTCGAACTCGATTCGCTTGCGAAACATAAGGTGTTTTGACCTGTAGCTCTTACTTCTCCACATGTGAAGCTCGTTGGCTACAAGTGGGTTTTCGTTCGGAAGCGTAATGAGAAGAATGAAATTTTGCGTTACAAAGCTCGTCTTGTCGTACAAGGCTTCTGACAACGCCCCGTGATTGACTATGACGAAACTTACTCACCCGTTATGGATATGATTACTTTTCACTACCTAATCAGTTTGGTAGTTTTTGAAAAACTGGATATCCTGATGGACGTAGTAACCATGTATCTCTATGGGGATCTTGATACGAAAATCTATATGAAAGTTCCTGAAGGAATTACATTGACTGGTTTAAATATTTCCAAACCCCGGAATAGGCTCTCAATTCAGCTAAGGCATTCACTCTACGGTTTGAAACAATTTGGAAGAATGTGGTATAACCGACTGGGTGAGTATTTGACTAGTCAGGGATATGTGAACAACAAACTATGCCCTTGTATGTTCATTAAGAAGTCACAATTGGATTTGCGATTGTTGTGGTATATGTCGATGACTTGAATCTTATCGGAACTCTTGAAGAGCTCACGAGAACTGCCACGCACCTGAAGTCAGAATTTGAGATAAAAGATCTAGGTAAGACTCGATACTGTCTCGGTCTCGAGATAGAGTATTGTTCAGATGGAATCCTAGTACATCAATCGAACTACACCTAAAAGGTGTTGCGCCATTTTAATGAGGATAAAGTGAAGCCTTCGAGTACTCCTATGGTCGTTCGATCGCTAAATGCAAAACGAGATCCCTTCCGTCCGAAGAAGGATGATGAAGAGATTTTGGAGCTTGAAGTTCCTTATCTAAGTGTGATAGGCACTTTATTGTACTTAGCTCAATGCACTAGACCTGACATCTCTTTCGCTATTAATCTTTTGGCATGAAACAGTAATGCACCTACACACAGACATTAGACTGGCGTGAATGACATCTTTCGTTACCTTAAGGGTACTACAGATTTAGGCTTGTTCTATCTCTACGAATCCTCGAATGGTGCCGCACCCTATGCTTCTCGAGTTGATTCTCACCTTGTTGGTTATGCCGACGCAGGATACTTGTCTAATCCGCACAAGGCGCATTCTCAAACAAGTTATGTCTTTACTGTTAGAGGCACCGCAATCTCTTGGAGGTCAACTAAACAAACCTTAGTTGCCACTTCGTCTAACCATGCTAAAATTCTCGCCTTGCATGAAGCAACTCGGGAATGCTTTTGGTTGAGACCAGTAGTGGGCCATATTTGAAGCTCTTGCGAACTTTATTCCGCTGTTGGTGTCCCGACGATGATCTTTGAAGACAACGCAGCATGCATCGAACAGCTCAAGAAGGGTTACATCAAAGGAGACAACACCAAGCACATTGAGCTGAAGTTTTTCTTTTCACATCAACAACAAGAGCATCAAAAGATTAAAGTCACGCAAATCTGTTAACAAGACAATCTGGCCGACCTCTTCACCAAATCACTGTCGAAAACGACGTTTTAGAAACTTGTATATGGAATTGGTATGCGTAAACTTTATGAGTTGTAACTTTGCTATTTCTCTTTGGAATTATGTCAAACTCAAGGGGAGTATCCTGTAGATATTTGCTTGATCTTAACGTACTCTTTTTTCCTATGATTAGGAGCATTTTTCTCACTGAATTTTTGCTACCTAACTAGGTTTTAACAAGGCACCCACCTTTGGTTGGTCATATCCCTGATGACGTCCCATAGACGTTTCTTTTGACTTTGCTGTAGACATCGAAATTTAATTTCCGTGTTTACATTTGCATTTCTCACATGTTTTTCCTTAGACTATGGATTTTGTCCCTCCTTGGGTTTTGGCCATAGCCTTAGGGTTTTTTAGAGAGGCTTACTATTTATGCAAATTCCTACCTTATTGAGAATAAGCGTTGTTCCTTAGAATCAGTGCCGAATAGTCGACTTCCTCAACTTCTGCATGATGCTAAATCTACCTTGAGTATTTACACACTCAAGAGGGAGTGTTGTAAACATTCCTAGTTTAAGTGTGATTGTGTAAATTCTAGATTAGATTTGATTCTAGTTATCCTTTCTTATTGTATCTTGTATTCCTTGGGATGAAGGAATATCTTCTCTCATTTCACTACTATAAATAAAGGCACAATGTATAAGGGATAACAACACATATTCCTCCACAATTCTACAAACACATCACTTTTTCTTTCTTTTGCCGCCGACCCTCTTTAACCTTGTCAGATAAAATAGACCACAACAACCACAATTTTTTTACACATAAAAAAAATGAGTAAATTACATTTTATTGTCTGAGATTTGAAGTTAGTTGCAACTTCATATAATATTTTTAAAATATTTTAATCTCATATATGATTTTAATGGTTGTAAGAAATTGAAATAAATAATAACTAAATATATAAAATTAACATGTTTTAAAGATGTTGCATCAACCATTATTATCATCTCATTATTTTGCCATATCCCATTTAATCTCTCTCTCCTCAACAAAATTAAAACTCCAATCCAAACACGCCTCAGTCACCAACGATCCAATTCCAATCCCAATTCATTTCGGATTTTGATTCGATTCGAAATTAGAATTTAAACTCGACGAGGATGACGATATTCCAGCTCTCCTCCCCACCACCACCGCCCCCACCCTTCTTTAAATTCTCGTCCTCCTCCTCCGTCATTTTTGTCCCTCTTTGTTTGCCTCTAAGAAGCCATGCGCCGCCCACTCCCTGCTTTCCTCCTCTTCGCCTGCGCCTCCCTCTTCCTCGTCGCCTTCTTCTCCCTCCACCTCTCCCGCACTACCGACTTAATCAACCATCTCCCCATCTCCCTCGCTGATGACCGCCACCATTCCATCCTCGCCGTCCGCGATCAGCCTCTTCCCACCACTCAACGCACTTGCCACGACGTTTCCTGCGTTGCTAACACTTCATCCACCGTCTCCGGTCTACTCCCTGCCTGGGAGGTTCTCCTCATCGTCTCCCCAGAGACTCCGCTGCCATTCGCCAGCAGTGACACCTATGTTTGTCTGTTCCAGAACAAAACGACACCTCGCCTGCCAGTCTTTCCAAAACACTGCCGTTTACAAACCGGATGAAGCTGATGTGCCCCATGCCCAACCGAGTGAAGCGTCTCCGCCAATTTGACTAACCTGTGTTGGGGAAGGGCTCCGACAAGGACACGCTAGTGCCGATTCCAAATTCACCGGAGCTAATCTGGTGGGACTTCATGGTCTACGAGTCGTTCTCGACCGAAGACGACGTCGTCCTGTTCACCAAGGTTTTGGACAACCGCCAGGGCATCAACCGACCTCCCACCGAGTTCAGGTGCATGTTTGGCGACACCAACGACAAAAGCAATGCCGTCAGAACCGCTGTTATGAGCTCCGTACAAGAGGTGTTCAGGTGCCACCACCCCAACGTAACAGCGGTCAATTCCAACATAAAATTCTCACTGGAGATCGTTGACGCAAATGTCGTAGTCCCGCCCGTTGCGTACTACTCACCCAGGTCACCTTTGGCAGAGATTTTTTAGCATGACCGTCACATGACGTGTTCTATGTAAATAATTGGTTATGTGAACTAAAAGGTTAATAACTTAAAAATTAAAATTTTCTATCACTTTCATAAAAACACATAGTGTATTCCCATACAACAAAATTTTTTTCCACCTTTGGAGACTAATGCTAGTGCGGGGACCACATAAATTCAACATAATAAATTGGAAGACGAGGTGTGCGTATGCACCATGGTGTACAACGTGGCAAAGTTCCTAAGGGAGTGGGTGATTTACCATTCCAAAATCGGAGTCGATCGCTTCATCTTCTACGACAACGACAGCGACGACGGTCTTGAGAATGTCGTAAAATAGCTCAACGATAAGGGGTACAACATTACAACGCTGTCTTGGATTTGGCCCAAGACGCAGGAAGCAGGGTTCTCGCATACCACCCTGTACGCCCGGCGTATGTGCAAGTGGATCATGTACGTCGACCTGGACGAATTCGTGTTCGCGCCTTACTCGTGGGCCCAGTCTCACAAACCCTCAAAGCACATGCCGAAAGAACAATGTTATTCTTACCACATTAGTATACCACATTATGTGGCATCTGATGTGGATATCCACATCATCTAAATTAATCATAATTTAAATTAAATTTAAAACTATTTAATAAACTAACAATAAATAAAAAACTGAAATTAAATGGTAATTGTGTCATACGAGGAGTCATTTCCTTCCTTCCTTCCCCGTTGCTTCTTCTCCCGTTTCTTCTTCCATGCCATTTTTTTGTTTCAACCCAGATTTTTTTTCAGCAGCCTCGCCATCGATGGAAGCAGATCTTTTTGTTTCAGATCTCAAACGATTGAGGTAAGAATGCAAACCCATACTTCCAGTGTGATATTGTTGGAAGTACGCCCACAAAGCCACTCATTTGATGTAATAGCTTTTGGAATACTTATTGTATTAAACTATTATATGTTTAATGAAGGACAAAGCTTATTGTTAATCAATATTTATTGTATCATGTGTTTAAGCAATAAGGGATTCCAAGGAATATATTTGATCTAAGAGATAAGTGATTTAAGTAAGTTAGATTAACGAGACCTTTCTCTTATATTCATTCCTAAAACGTTCCTAGCCATAGGATTGCCAATTGGGCATTGACAATCCGCTAAGGTTAGTATGTGTTATGTCAACTCAAGCGTGAGTATGACTAGTCTCAAGTCATTTAGTGTTGGACACTAAGACAAACACGTAGGTGCTCGAAGGGCAATCGAGTACACTGAACAACGATAAAAAGAGAGTTTGAACATGCATGTCATGTAAGAACTCGTTAGTTGCAATATGCAAAGTAATCCTTTGACTTGAGGCATCATAGATGTCTAATGATTAGGTCCTTGATCTTTGATCATGTCAAAGGCATTCCATCGAGAGTGTCCACGGCATTGTTGGGGTTAAGCTATCTAGTCATGTAGGCATATGAATGCACAACAAGGGATCTCTAACCTTCCATGGTGGAAGGAGAATACTCTAAGATATTATTCGGGAGTCTTTGGCCAAAGCATACAAATATGACTTAGGAAGTATGTTCCAAATCATATTCAATTGAATCCTATAGAGAAGTATTACATTGGATAGTAGACATGAAACAAACTATCACTCAAACAATGTGATTAAGAGTATTGTATTAGAGAATGACCGTATTGCATTGTAATTGTAACTGGATAGGTTCTCCAACCAATTCTATTTAGCTTGGGTAGCCATGACATGCTGTTAGGTGTTACTCATGGTTTGTGGAAGCCCTGAAGATTAGCAAACACTAAATCTTAATCAAAGGGAGAATTGAAATGAAGTTTCAATTCACAATTGATTGTTAAGAGTAACAATCGTCCACTGCCTCGCTAATTGGAACCTAATGGATCGTACACCGAGTAAGGATGAAAGTGAAGAAATATAAATGAAATGGATAAGCAATTAAATGATTTAATTGAAAAATGGTCAAGGTTAATTAATTAGTTGATTAATTATACGAAAGGTTTGTATTGGGCTTTTAAGTTAGTTTTGGGCTTCGGGGTCCAAAAGGGTTTGGTCCACTAGGCCCATTATGTTTAAGTTGTATGACAACTAAAACAAATATGGGCAAATAGCCCAATCACTTAAGATGGCCGGCCATAGTGAGGGAAGTGGGAAGTTTTGCTTAATTGCAAGTTTGCCACTCACCTAAGAAAAGAGATATAAAAGCATCTTTATAGCTTTTACCTCATTAGGATTTTCTTGAGACAAAGATGAGAAACACTTTCTCTCTTTTTTCTCTAAAAGAGGCCGGCCACTTAGGGAAGAGATAGCTAGCAATCTTTTCTTCTCTAAGTCATCCATTTCATCTTCACACCTCATCCTTGGTGTGGAGACTTAGAGACACCAAATCTTTGGTGTTTTTTTGGAGATCCTTTCCTCACATCCTCAAGGAGCAAAGGAGCATCAAAAGGTAGAAAATCACAAGGAAGATCCAAGGAGCTAGGAGGTGACTTGAAGGCCCTCCACTTGGGTGAATCCCTTGTGTAAACAAGGATGAGCTTCAAGGGTAATGAATCTCTAAATCCTTCCTTCTCTTTAATGTTGTTGAAGAGTCTCATGGTTCACCATTCACTAGGCTTTGAAAGTCATGGGTTTTTAGAATTGTTTTTTAATGCATGCCTACTTTAATATGTTAATAGTTTGCCTATGTGTTCAAATATTCTCACATGTTCTTAGCTAGGACAAAATTTTTCCTTCAGATATTTCACCATTCGAGTCTCTTGGTCTTAACTTTTCGTTGTTGTATGTTTTTTATATTTCTCTCTCTCTCTCTCTTCTACAGGATATGAGTAACCAGTCTAGCTTATTGCAAACCCAACTTTCCGAAATAAAAAAAGAGACTAAGGTGAATACCTGAAAATTTGGGTTGGAGAGCCATATTTTATGTTTCATTAATTTATGTTCTAGTGAAATTTTACTATGGTCTATGCCCCCTAAACAAATGCTTTACCAATCTTGAATTTTACTAGCCTTGATAAGATCAACAGTGTAGAACAGTTGGGGGAAATGGAAGATTCACTTAGAGAATCGCTTAATCAGATTCGAACACATAAGGTATCCTCTGCATCCAAGTGTAGGTTTCATATGAAGAAATTTAGTGTATATACCCACCCGATGTTAGAATTCTTGCGCTTGACAGGGTCGGCACTATGAAGTGTTCTTATTGTCTGGTTCAAAATTTTTAATTTTATTTTTTAAATTGTCTGATTATTGTAATTGGCCTAGCTTTCCAATATTATATGTTACTAAAATGTTGCCACTGATAATTGGAAGTTGTGGAAATGATGTACTGCCTTAGATTGTAGCAATTTATAATTTGATTACTTATTAATTTGGGAATGTATGTGAATAGTAGTGAGTATGACATCATTGGAGTTTTAGCAAGAAAGCATTGACAATTACATACAAATGAGGAGTGTATAATTTTCTGAGTATCCTTCCCCTGTAGTTTTCAAGTGGCCTTGTGCTACCTTTAGTTCTGATGCTACTGCACCTCTTGATACTAACGCAATACAATTCTCCATTGGCAGGAAAATTTACAAAACCAGCAAATTATGTCGTTACAATGCACTAGTCAGGTAAAGCATTGCTTCTTTTCTGTTTTGAGAAACTTTTCTAAGGTGTTATTTACTTACTGATATTGGCAAACATAATATCACCACGGAGTTGAAGCCGCTGGTTGATGTGAAAATAAAGCAGGTCCTCGGAGTTGACAACTTTGATTTGGAGGGTGTGTTAGCAGAAGGGTTCTTGGAGAAAATCATTTCTGGGCTGCAAAGATTGGGAAAGAAAGATGATAGTAGAGATGAGAGTTTTGATGAGTCTGCAATTACAAGGCCGTACCTTTTCTGAAGCTTGGGAGATCAGGGAGAAGAGGAAGATAGAGAAGCCATTAATGAATTGGAGGTTTCCTGCATTGGAGAATGAAATTGACATGAAAGACAATCTTAAATGGTGGGCTCATACTATTGCTTCTGCAGTTAGATGACAAACATTCTGGTTCAAAGATTTTTTGTACTTTTTTTTTGTTTGGATTTTGCTTCAATTTTTTTGACACTATTTGTATACAGTAGATTTACCAGGTTAATCAATATTGTTCTACAACTTGTAAATGTGAATAAAAAGTTGAAACATTTTCAAGATCAGATTATGAATATTTGTGCTTAACTTCCTCTGCATTCTTCTTGAGCTATAAGCGTTGCTGCAAGATTGCAAGATTGAATCTTGGAAGAAATTGGTTTTTGGTTTATAGCTTTAGAAAGCGGTGTTTTGATATAAGCCTTTCGTTTTTCAATTTCGTTGATTAAACATAAGCTCCTTTTAAGAATTTGATTAAACTCCGCTTTTAGTACAACAAGAATTAGAAGAGCAACACGTCTGCATACTAGCTGTTGTTACAAAATATTTGAAATGCATTGAAGTCTATGTTTAGAAGAAATAGGATCCAAAACCACAAAAACTCAAACTGTATAAAGAAATTGCTTTCATTGTTGCTTCCATTGCTTAGTTGAGCTCTTGGTCATCATTTCCTCTCGACGTAGAGCTATGCATATTGTACGTACTATAACCTCCATTCCAGTATGGATATTGTTGACCCTAAATAAAGAGAGAAAAAAAACCATAAGAACTACAGATAAAGCATTATACCATGTGATGTAAATAAATATTTAATTAATAACTACAAAAGGATTATATGCATCCTCTCAATGTTTACCTGGACATAATTTCCATGCATAGTAGGATAACTTATATTTCCAATCTCAGACTCTTTGTACAACAGGTTTGGATGACTACCTCGACTGAGTCCCAATAACAAAGCCATGTTTTCCTCCTACAATAGGTAATATTTATTCAATAGCTAACACAAAAGCAATTCAAAATCACTATCAATAGGACAAAATGCACAACTTACATTAGTATGGGGAAAAATAGGATATTGGTTGGCATGCATGCAAATT